TCGCTTCAGCGTCTTTGCCGAAAGTAACCGCCTCAACAACACGAAAGAGCTGAGAAGCGTCACAGACATCGGAGGAGTCGTAATGGAATGGCCCTTAACGAAATCGACAACGTGCTAACGGACGGAACACGGGTAGTAGCAGACGTGTATGTCATTGGAGAAAATATCGTTTGCTCAAGGTCAGACGACCGATTACTCCGCTCCGCAGTTACAGTCGATTTGGCTGAAGAAGAACAGGCTAGATGGGGTCAGAGACCGCTGGCCATTGGACCATTATTCGTTTCTGAAGCATTCGCAAAAATGCTTCCTCAGCTGAACCTCTCAACAGACATCAGCGGAGGTATCAGTGCAGACTATCATCATCTTATCTATATCACCCAAACAGCCATCCGTTCATTCAGCTGGAATTTTCATTCACTGTCAACGAAAAAATAACGCTCCAGCCATTCAGTGATTGAGCTGTTGGCCTGAAGAGCTTGGGTGAAGGCTGATGAGCAACTGAACTCTGAGTAAAATGCATTGTGCAAAGAAATACAAAAGAAGATTCGTGAGCACCATGAGGAGTACGGGAGAACGAAGTTAGAAGAGACCGTTTAAAGAGGAATGGCCTGAAGGACGCGGAAAGTGGTAACCTCCTGAAAATTCGATCGCCGATTGAAGTACAAGAATCGCAAATCGCTGGCCCATGGAATCAGTCTGCACGAAGTTCTGCAACGATATCTACTCGAAGGTTGAAGTAAGCCCAAAACTGTCGCATGTTGCCATGGAAACCGTTCTTGGTGTCACTGAGACGACAGAGAGTGGGTAGTTAAGAACGTCAGATGTCCTGATAGGAGTGGCGTAAAACCGGATCATATCAATTCAGGAGAAATGACCCTGATCAATGCCCTTGCAGAAGGATTTACGGAGTAAATCAGGCTGAAGAAGACGCCAGAAACATGAAAGAGCTCTTCGACGATTCTTTTATTCGAGAAAGGTGGTACTGAAGACCTCCGGGACTATCCACCCTTCGCTCTCCTGTCACAAGTCTACAAGGTCTTTATTTGAATCATTCTCAGCTGTATCCAGAAAGATCTGGCACTGCTCGATAGTAAAGGACAAGCTGGTTTCCGAGCAGAGTTCTCTACCATAAGCCCGGGAGCAGCTATAAAGACGTGCAGGTGGTATCAGTTACCTCTCAGATTGCATTCATCTTCTTCAGAAAAGCGTTCGATTCCGTCGATCTGAGCGCTACTATGAGCACTTTGCACGACTTCAGTATTAACCCTATTTATGTCGATCTGATCAAGGAACTGAAAACTGATACCGCGTCCTACATCGAGCTTTCGAGGAGCCGTGCTTAATTAACATCAAAGGAGGAGTACGCCAAAGAGACACCATCTCTACTAAGTTTTTTGCGATTTTGCCATAATCCATTAGCCGTCTGAACTGGGACGTCGGCATTAAAATCGATTGAGAATGGCTCACTCATCTCCTCCTTGAAAATGAAATCGCCAGACACCTAGCGAACTTCAGACAAAGATAGTGCAGTTGCATAAGGAGTCACGCTTCATCGGTCTGGAGATGAACATCTCCAAGGCGAAGTGGATGTACAACGAGCACTGCAGCGTGAGTACCATCTTCACTGACGTCGAAGAAGTGAAAAAAGAGCAGCTGCGTGTACCTCTGAAGTTCATAAAATCCAATGACAGCGTCAACGAGGAGATCAACAGAGGAAGGAAGGCGAATTGGGTAAGTTTCAATCACATCAGAATATCGCTGCTGGATAACGAACTGGCCGTGTTCACAGAGAAAGAACTGTTCAACTCCGCAGGCCTACTCGTCATAATTTATGGCTCAGAGTGCTGGTCGTCCACTAAAGCCGAGAAAAATAAACTGATACTCACGCAAAATGCGATTTAACAAAGAATATACAAAGTTTCTCTTCGAGGCCGTTTTCCAAGTTAAATAGTTCCGTTTCGGACACGATTCTTGGATGTACTCATTGGCGCCTACAACTCGGAGAAACGATGGACTGACCATTTGGCTCGTCTGAAGGACAACAGAGAGACCTCCTGACTTACCAACTGGATCCTTCTTGGCAGCAAACGTCCACTCGGTTGTCCACCATCACACTGAGACGTCTCAATGATAAAACTGTTTGGTCAGTTGTGGAAACAGGTCACAACACTCATGTAGAGTTACGGAACGTCGACCCTCATCTGTGGCATGGCCGTTGACGAAAACAAGCCATGTAGAGGATAGACGGATATACATGAAGTAAAGTTGTCATGTTTAGTAATTCAGGCAGTCTATTAACCCGATCCATGCCTTTTCATTCTTCAATTCTTCATCGCTCTTCTGTTTTCTCTCAAAAACTACTCTCCATTGGAACGCTGGAATAAAGATCTAAATGCTCATATAAAGCTAGATGCCCGTTTACTGGCGAAGCACAAAGATATTCTGTTCGCCTTCCTATTTCGAGCTTAAACTTCGGACGAATAGTTTCGAAATAGTTTCCTAGCGCAGGAAAAGCGTATTATCTAGAATAGATGTTACGTGACAGTAAAAAGATGTCGCTGTAGAGTGTTGCGGTATTCATCAACAAAGTAAGCTAGCCGTTTGTTAAACGAGGCAATCCGATTTCATCAGAACGAAGTAAAAGTGTCTCTGTTCTACAATGAAAGGTACAGCTCTCATGTGGTTTTGTTGCTTCTCTTCCTTCGCTTGGGCCCATTTACTGGCACTGTGTAGCTCTCTGGAATGTCACGGATGTCAGCCTACTTTTTTGACTCTCCTCCTGACCATAGTGGACCAACAGTGTTAGATCGACCACTCTGACTACTGAAACAGTGTCCTGTATTTGGAGGTTTTTGACATGCGGAATTTTAGACTAATACTGTCAGATGCTACGTAAGCTTTCACTGTATTACTTGCCGCTCTGCGCTGTTTATGAGTTCCTGACTTTTTCAATAGCCCGTTTTCAGCTAATGGGTATGGGTGTTACGGCGAGCGTATTTCAATACCCTGAATAGGTAGATCACTGTGAGTGAAAGTAGAACGAAACATACAGTTAGCAGGCCTTCAGCGGATCTTAAGATAAGAATATTGCATGCGAACATTTATGCAGAGGATGAGATTCATTTTTCAGAATAAAGTTTCTTGTGATCAGCCAGTTTTCAGGAGGGGTCTAATCAGTGGATTTTGGTGTAGATACGTTTTTATGTAAGGACAAGTAAGTTTCTTTGACCGACTTCCCTTCATATTCAGCGACTACTATGAATCCATGATTATAGCACAGCATTTTTTTGTGCCTTTAGTAAACTATTTTCAGGAAGCGCTTTAGGTTTTCTCTACTCCAAGCTTTACCAGCAATAACAAGCCATTTTTCTTAATCTTTATCTGATTTTATCGTTGCCTGGTTGCAGTGGGAATTTTTTGACTTTTATGGGCTTTCACGTTGGTAGTGCTCTACCAGCAAACGTTATGGTACAATATACAGGAAGAAACGTGTTAAAAACGTGACGTGACGAACGTGGCTAACAGGTCAGGGTTGCAGGATCGATATCTCTGATCCAGCTGCAGATACTTTTTTCATGAAGGTTTCTGTCACTTGTACTACCATTAAATTAGATGAAGGATTCATTCACGGAAGTACGAAGGCATTATTAGCGCATAGATTGGCCACTTATGCTCTAAAGCAGTAGTAAGAAAAAATGCAGGACGGAATCACTAATTTTTTTCATCCTTCTGATGTCTGGTTACCACCAACACGTGGAGAAAAGCGGCATTTAAACTAAAATGATAAATTTTAC